AAGGCCGGGCGATGGTGGCGCACGCCTTTAATCCCAGCACTGGGAGGCAGAGGCAGGTGGATCTCTGTGAGTTCGAGACCAGTCTGGTCTACAGAGCTAGTTCCAAGATAGGCTCCAAAGCCACAGAGAAACCCTGTCTCGAAAAAAGCCAAAAAAAAAAAAAAGAATCACTGTGCTAGCTGGGCGGTGGTGGCGCACTTGACCTCAGCACCTGGGTGGCAGAGGCAGGTGGATCTCTATAGTTCAAGGTCAGCCTGGTCTACAGAGTGAGTTCCAGGACAGCAAGGGATGTTTCACAGAGAAACTATGCCTCAAAAACAAAAACAAACAATAAAGAATCACTATGCTAGAGAGCTGTAGGTTCAGACTTGGGTAGCGACCTGGGATTGATCCCTAGGTTCCACACGAAAACAGTTTCTGGTCTGTTGGTGCCACTGATATAAAGAAAGCGCTTGGCAAGGTATGACCTGGTACAGTCAGAGGCAGAGGCTCCTGCCTTGTGATCATGTAAAGAATAATGCATAAAGCTGCACCACAAGAGGGTGCTGTCCCCAAGGAACCTAGTAGTTTTTAGGTCACATTGTGTGTCCGGATCTGTTTCTGCATCAAGTCCCACCAGTGCACTGCTCACAGGTTGAGAAGGATAGCTGTGGTACCAGAGAGGTGCCTCGGAGGTCAGGGCAGGGACAGAGTCCAGCATGTCAGCCGGCGTGGTCTCACCTGACAAAGTCTCCATCAGCCATGCCATAGGTTGTGGCCTGCTTATTGAGATCAGCCACCTGCTCCTGGTTCAGCTCATCCACATCCACCTCCACGTCTGCACCAAGAGAAAGGCTGTCAGGGACTCTAGTCCCAGGAGAAGATAGAAGGGGGTAGTGCCCCAAGTGGGGACAGGTCTACCAGGTAGAACACCTTCAGGGAGGATGTAGCTGTGCTGGCTCTGCTGAGGCCCAAGCTGAGGCTTGGTCAGGACAGCATACTGCACAGGGGGGACAAATAGGGGAGGGTGGATGAGTCTGCAGATGGAGTGCAGGAAAGAGAAGAGGATGGGAGGTGGACAGAGACAGGCGTGGGGCGGGCATCAGAGCAGTGCACGGAGGGAGGGCAGGAGACATCAGCTCTGCCTGAGGCTAAGCCCACATGTACAGGAAGAGCAGGCTGGAAAGGCGGCAGCCTCAGTCTTCTCACTGGGGACTTCCATAGGAGGAAAGGCGGTGAGCATGGGGATGAGTGACAGATGCTGGATGGGGGCAGCTCTAGGAAAGGGGAAGATTCATTTCCCAGAGAAAAGAAAGGCTGGCCCAGGTACAAGAGGAAAAGCCAGCCCCAAGGTGGGAAAATCTTATAGAAACAGGGCCCAGAAATGATTGGGAGAGGGGCCAGGGACAGAGAAGGCTGGGAGTGGGCCAGGGAAGCAGGGGAAGGCTGAGGTCCTATAGCTGGGGCAGAGGAAGGCCTTGTAAGCGTGGGTACCCTACAGAGGGTGAGGGACAAGACACAAAATCGATGTCTAGGGGCTGCAGGTGGGGAGGGCAGAGAGGGGACCCCACCGATGTCGGGGATGACCTCATCTTCATCCGAATTGCTCTCCTCCTCAGCTGGTGACTCCTCCTCCTCTGTTTTCTCGGCCACCTTCTCTACCTCGGCCACAGTACTATCTTCATAGGTATAGCCAATGGAAGCCTTCTTCTCTGCCAGCCTGTGAAATGAGTCATGAGCCAGGGGCTACCCAGCAGGAGTAGGGCCACAGGCAATCCCCATGATAGATCCTGAGTCCTTGGCAACATGTGTCCACCTAAGATGCTCCACTCTAGTTCCCGCCTATGGCCTGGTCCTTCCCATTCCTCTCCTGGCCTCCTGGCCTCCTGGCCCAGGCACTGTCCTGGGCTGCCCCGCCTTGCCCATGTTGGCTTACTCCTGTCAGGAGACAAGACTGCCTGCACAGGCCTTAAGTCTCATTGAGTGCAGAGCCAGAGCCGTCTTTACAAAGTGTGCCCCAGTTTTGCTTTCGGGGGACACACTGAGAGGCCACTATTGATTTCTGCTGTCAAACCTCCTGCTTCATCCCAGCACCCTTATCCTGAAGCCAAGGCTTGAGTGTCTGGGAAGTACCCAAGCATGTCAGGAAGCAGATCCTACAGTGGGTGCTCCCAGATATGATCAGGGTTCCCAACTACAGTGCCCAGCCAGGCTGGCTTTTGAGATGGCTGGCAACCCTGGGCTTAGGACCCCAACCTCTGCAAAGTGACATCAGCATCTCTAGGTAGCAAGCTTACTGCATGCAGGCACTGGGACAAGTGCATGACACCCCCATCACCCATGTTCCTCACAGCTCCTGACTTAAGGCTGACTCCAAGAGGCTGCCTTCCCTTGGCCCTCTCCACAAGACTCACACTCAGGCAGTTTCCCTACAGGGCTCATGCCTCCTACTCTGCAAAGTGGGAGCAACAAGCTCAGTCAGAGCCTGTCCTCTGCTGCTGACTCTTCCTCTCCACACATAGACCATAGACTGCGGTGGTGAGATGGGAGGGCTGGCCCCACCCATCAGACCAGCCCTTGACTCACTTCTTCTTCTCATCCTCGCTGGGTCTCTGGAGGCCTCCATACAGTTCATCAATGTAGATCTGATACAAGCACTGTTCCTCAGAGACTGGCAAGGAGAGGTCAGAGGTCAGCACAGCCTGGCATATGTGCGTGTGGAATGGAGTGCAAAGATGGGAGTGGGCAGCCAAGGCAGGGTCCCCTATTTCAAATCACTCTTCTATCGAGACCCCGTGACCATGGTATACAACATCAGCTAGATGATCCGCTCTCCCTGTGATCCTGGTGATGTGCCTCAGTTCCCTCTTGTGTAACGTAGGATCACTGACAGAGTGAGTACTTGCGACTTAGGGGCCCTACCGCTGTCATGGGGCCTCTCTGGCCTCCAGAACCATATGCATGCCCGTAAGTGTTGGGTATCATGTGGACCCCACTGGCCACCACCCCATGTGGTCCTGTGGCTTGGTTTGTACTGGTGGGGTGTCTGAAGATCATGCTCTCCTACACCCCCAGCACCCACTTCAGGAGCTTCCCAGGGTACTTAGGCAGCATGGCTTCCCTTCAGCTCTCTCTATCCTCTGCAGGCTTCTGCCTAGCTTTCCTTTCTTTTGAAGGGGGAGGGTGAAGGGACACTGAAGACTGCATGACAAGCAAGTGCTCTACCATGAAACTGTATCCCCATCTTTCTGAGACAGGGTCTCACAACATTCAGGCTGGCCCAGGCAAAGCCCTGAACTTGAGATTCCCCCGCCTCAGCCTCTGGAGCACCTCTGGTGCTGGGTCACTGTACCAACCTGAGCACTTCAGCTTTCTACCAGTGGCACCTGGTGTCTGGGCTAGGTAACACAGCACGGCCCCTTCTTGGCCGTGGCAGACACCCACCTCAGAACCTCTATGCACCCTATCCCAGGGACTGGAATCCACACCTCTCCCTGGCTCAGTAGAAAGCATGTATACCCAGCTCTGCCTTCCTTCCCTTCAGGAATGCTTAGCAAGCAGTCTCTTACACTACCTAGGCTTGTTCTTAAACTGTTCGTGTGGTTATGCCGTGGCTCTCTGTCCACCACTGGACAGCAGAAGACACACTGCTTGTAGGAGTGAATGAAGAAGTAAGGGAAGCCTGGGCTCTAGCTCTAAGGAATCAAGGCTTGGGCAAAAATGACAGCACTACTGGGCAGGGGTGGCGCACGCCTTTAATCCCAGCACTCGGGAGGCAGAGGCAGGCGGATCTCTGTGAGTTCAAAGCCAGCCTGGTCTACAAGAGCTAGTTCCAGGACAGGCTCCAAAGCTACAGAGAAACCCTGTCTCAAAAAATCAAAAAATAAATTAATTAATTAATGATATTAAGAAATAAAAAAATGCATCTTAAAACACGGAAATCTGGGACTATCAAGCCTATGTGCAGGCCTCCTGTGTCAACGTGAAGCAAGATTTGCATATGTAATCCCTGAACTCTCAAGCTGACCCCTGGAGCACACACCCGAGACCTGCCAGTAAAGGGGTTTGTGTGTAGGTGACCCTGGACAATTGTATCCATAGTGAAGACTCCACTTCCATAGACACCTCTGAGTCCTGTCTGTAAAATGGGCGTCAAGCTGGGCACAGGGATCCTTGCCTATAATTGCAGCTCTGGAGGGAGGGAATCACCAGTTTCAGGGCAGCTTGGGCTACAGAGTAAGACTGTCTCAAACATGTAGACAGTAAGGAACATAACCCGAGATCTAATGGTGCAGCAAGACAGGAGAGCAGGCCCCTAGCATCTGTGTGTGTGGCCCTGCATCATCCCCAGCACAAAGCACTGACCGGGAAAAGGAAACTAAGGAGTCCTCTGCCCTTCTGGAAGCTGTGCAGGGTCATAGGAGGGGTTTGTTTTATGTTTGCAATGCTAGGGACAGAAACAGATTCTCAAACAGACACCCATGTGTCGATGTATGCCATGCGCACATGTAACAAGGCTTGCATGTGGAGGTCAGGGGACAATTCAGGAGTGGGGTCTCCTGATCAAATCCAGGTTGTTAGGCTTTCATGGCAGGTACTCCTAACTACTGACTAACTACTGAGCCAGTTCCCTAGCCTCACACAAGCCACACCCCCAGTCATATGCAGGTGTGCCAGATGAGCTAACAGAAAACCCTTCCCATGAGGATGTGCCTTCCAGGAGAAGGGGGGCGGGGTCCTCGCCTTCTGGAGCCCCAGTGAAGGCTAGTCGAACTGTCCGAGGTCCTGCTCACAACAAAGCAGTGTTTCTTCCTGCGACCCTCGCCCATGCAGTGGGCGCAGTGCATGTGCACCCTTCTCCTTCGTTTTTAGTTAAAGGATCCTACACAGACTCGGAGGGAAAGGATGGGAGGTGGCCTGGGCAGAAACCTCCAAGTCTCTAACTCCACAGAGAGCCCTGTGCTAGTTTCATGGACAAAGGCCCAGAAGGGAGAGGAGGTACAGAGACTGGGACAGAACCAAGGGCAACCAGCAGCAAGTACCTGGGTGAGCCTTGTCTAGGTCGTCGAGCCTCAGGCCCCCATGCCCCATGCCCCGCCCCGCCACTCACTGCCGGCGAAGTCGTTCTGCACCAGGCCTCGGTACCGCTCGTAGTTACATTTCCGTTCGTCCGACTCCTGCTCCGGGGAGCTTTTGGTGGGAGAGGTTAAAGGAAAGGTAAAACTAAGGGAGGAATGGACAAGGCTCTTCTCGCCCAAGAAAGGTGACAGGTACACTGAGGCAGAGAGATGCTATGGGGTCCCTGGCAGCCCCGCCTTTGAGGACTTACATGGTGGTGAGCAGTGGGGGGGTGTAGTCGGGGATGTGGTCTAGATGTGCGCGAACATCAAAGCGGTCAATCATGTTGTTGGTGTCCCCTTGCCAAGGCATCCTGAGGTGGGAGGGGTGAGGCAGAGAGGCAGGACTCAGAATCCAAGCACCCGGTCCCTACCATCTCAAGTCCCTCTGACCCCCAGCGTCACTTCACTCTCACCTCCAGCTCAGGTCTTGATGCTGCACCCCCAAACTATACCTAAGATCTGGTCCCAACAACAAAGCCATCCATCTACTGGCCCACTTCTCAGGGCCAGGCAACAACAAGGAACTTAAACCAGGTCAAGGAGGCCACTAAAAGAACCACAGTCACCCTGAAACATCCCCTCCGCCCCCTGCCCCTGTGAGCTTCAGTCAGTGCTGTTTTCCCCACACCGTGATTGTCTACATAACCTCTAACAGTCAACTTCACACACACAATCTTCCCAGGCCAATCACACAAAAGCCAGTCCTTACCCAAACTCTACTGCAGACTCAAGAGTACCCCCCAAGTCCCTTCTGACACTATACCACCCCTCAACAGTCTTACATGTTCACAGGGCTCTCAGCAGCCAGGGCAACGGCAGAATCCAGGTGAACCTTGCAGGCGCGGCCATGCACCTGCAGGAACTGGGCAGGATCTTTCTTCTGCAGGGAGGGACAGGTCAGAGGTCACCAAGGAGCCCCGGCCCACTACACCTCCACAAGTAGGCCTAGTGGTCAGCTGGCCTCTGGGTCAAGTCCCTGGCCACACCTTACAGGTGAGCCAATGTGCACAGCCAGCATCCGAACCACCATTTGGGACAGGGAACTGTGCCCTCCCAGATGTGGCCAGCAGTTCTGAACTCTGCTTTAGCTGAGCCATCCTGACAGCCAGCCTATCTCTCTTGGCTACTTGGGAAACTGAGGCAGAAGACTGTAAATTAAAAGCCCACCCGGGCTACAGACATACTGTCTACAGTATTACCCCTAACTCTTTGTGCCTATCCGGGGCCATTCATCTGGAGCACAATGTAAGCACTGGCCTGCAGCAGCCTTGAGGGCAGCGAAATCACTCAAGCAAGAGCAGTGGCAGGCAAGTCTGCAGGCTCCAGGGAGATAGCCGGCAGACAAAGTCCTGCTCCATATGCCCTAGGGTGGTGGAACTGACAGCCAGCACGGGCAAGGCACAAGGAAACTGAACTGCACACAAGTGACCCTGGGCTGAGGCTGTAGCCATGGGACAGTGCAGGAAGCCCTAGCTCTACCCTTAGCACCAAAAGGAAACTACAGAAGAGAAAAAGCTAAACAAAGAGCTGGGGATGATGGCCCAGGTGTGTAACTCCAGCAGTCAGGAGGCAAAGGGAGGTAGAGCTGTAATTTGAGTCCAGCCTGGTCTACAGAACAAGTTCTAGGGCAGCCCAGGCGACACAAAGAAACGGTCTCGAAAAACAATAAATAAATAAATAAACAAATAAATAAACAAACAAATAAATAAATAAATGCCAGTCCCCCAAAAGGATACCTAAGTTGGAGACTCAACCCTGGGTCCTAGCCTAGGGGAGGACTTACAAATCCAAATCACAAAAGCACCTTGGGAAGCATAAACCTGGTGGCAGGGAAGGTAGAGAGTTCTGGCCTGGCAGTTCCTGGGGTCACATTACATCACTGGGGGAGAGGATGGGGGCTCAATGCTGCACCGTAAATCCTGAGCTGGCTCCTGCTCTCCACGGTGGCTTCTTCCTGGGGCATGTGGCTACCTTGCCCTCTGCAATGTTTTCCTTGTCCCTCCAAGCCATGACCTCCTCTCCCCAGAGCCTCTGCGTGCTCTGGGTGTCTTCCTGACTTTCCCCCTGGCTATCCTGGTCCAGGTTATGGGTCTCCCTGCTTTTACTTCCAGAAAGTTCCAGGCTCTGTGCTATGGTTCCCCCTCAGCAGGGCTGCTCTCTCACTTACTTCATGGCTCCTCTAGAGCATCCCTAATCCACTTCACATAAGGGCCTTACTGGGCCCACTTGTTCCTCAGGGCGTCTACCAGCACCTGCTATTCTAGCCCAGCTAGCTCTATTGCCACCAGCCTCCCACAAGAACATGAACATCCCATGGGGCAGGGATCTGTTTTGCTCACTGCTGGATATGTCCCCAGGGCCTGTAAATTAAGCAAGAAAAGAATTCTGACTACAGAAACAGCCTCACCTGCTTGCCATCCCAGCTCCACGCACAGCTCTGTCTGCTCCCCCATCATCCCCAGCAGGGGTGGATGTAGGTCAGAGCAGGGGCCCAGAGCAGCCACAGCTGGCCCCCTGCTCACATGACTCTGCCCAGCACTGGTCTGTCAAGACCCTCAGTTCACAGTGAAGCTGACAGAGAGAGGGCCTACCCAAGATCACAGGGGGCAGCAGGTAGCTGTGGAATCAAGCCCTTTGCTCCATACCTGCCTGCCTCCTTCAATCCTCAGGCCACACAGCCTCCAGCAAGCCTGAGGCCAAGCCTCTAGGGACATCAGGTGCAGCATAAAGTCTGCAAGAGCCCCTGGAGGGATCTGTATCCCAGAAGTGACAAGCACAGAGCCCAAGTAAGCGCCCCCAGGCCAAGGCATGCCTGAGGAGTGGCACTATGGAAAAGTCAAGCTATCCTAACAGCCAGGATCTGAGCTAAGCAGTTTGTGAAAACATCCTCCACTCAACCTCTGCAACCCCAGAAACACCCATTTCCCACAGGAGGAAACGGAGGCAAAACTCAAGATCACACCCGCATCAAGCAGAACTCATCTGTCCCTAGATGGACCTAGCTCCTTTCTAAGGTGTTAATATTAGGGTAATTGCTACTGTGGTAAAGAGCACCTAGCGAAGAATCTATGCTCAACCATTTTCATTCGAACTTTTCTGCTGTGCAGTAGATTAAACTCAGTGCTCTCTCACTGACCAAAGCCCCACCCCGCCCTTAACTGGGTAAGCACAGTGTAGAAGCCTCAACCAACAAGGAGAGGTTCTCAGTGTGAATTAGGCTGTCCATCTCTACCACAGCCTCCTCTTGCAAAGTGCAAACTCTACCCACTAAAGAATGCCCTTCCCGGCTCCTCGCCCCTAACAACCGCCATTCTAGGTAAGTGTTTGACTACATTAACTGGCATGCAGGATCAAGTTGCATCATACAATAGCCTTTTGGGTTTTCCTGTTTGGTTGGGGACAGGGTCTCACATGTAACTTACCCTGACCAGGAATTCACAGAGCTCCATACCCAGAGTGTGGTACTGGCTCCGTGTTCCACACTGGATGTGAGGATACACACCTCCAGTGTATGCATAGTCACATTTTTTCCTTTTCCCATTTTCTTTTTTTTTTTTCTTTTCCCATTTTCATGTGTGTGCATGTTTGCATGAGTGTGTGCACCTGGATGGGTACACATGCACGTGGAGGCCCTAGGCTCAGGAATCACCCTCCATCTCCCTTATACCTTATTCATTGAGGCAAGGTCTCTCAATCAAATGCAAAGCTGGCTGACAGGGCTAGTCTAGGTAGCCAGCTTCTCTGGGATCCAGCCTCTGCCCTCCTGAGGCTGAACTACAAGTGAGCCACCATGCCTACCCAGCATTTCGTGGGTTCTGGGGAAGCAAACTCTGGTCCTCATGCTTGCTAGCAAGTGTTTTAACCCCCGAGATATTACCCAGTCCACCATTTCCTTATTCATGCATCCATAGACAACGACGTTCTTCTAACTCTAGGCTTTGTGAGATACACTGCAAAGAACCAGGCTGTCCCTTCCTAAGACGCAAACTCCAGGCCGAGAGTAGTGCATGAACATAGCATGTATACCTAGCACAAATAATCTCTAGGCTCAGCCGAGCAGTGGTGGCACACGCCTTTAATCCCAGCACTTGGGAGGCAGAAGCAGGCAGATCTCTGTGAATTTGAGGCCAGCCTGGTCTACAAGAGCTAGTTCCAGGCCAGGCTCCAAAACTACAGAGAAGCCCTGTCTTGAAAAACCCAAATAAATAAATAAAATATAATAATCTCTAGGCTCCATCCCTGGCACCAGAGGCAAACAAATCAACGGAATCCACTCTTACAACCAGGCTGTATTGACTCTGAGCTCAGATAGGTTCGGAGTCCATGCGCACATGCTCTCTCATGCACTGCCTCCATGAACTCCAGCACTTACCAATGGATGCCCAAGGCCAACAGCTCAAGTTCCACCCACTAAGCCTCACAGTTCAGTGTAGGGGACATCCCTGCCTTAACCAAGGACTACCCTTACATACAGGGCATGGCTGACATGGGCCTTCCAGAGGGAGACTTGTTTATATCTCACCTGTGTATTAACAGGGATTGTTTTTCTTTCTCTTTTTTCCTCTCAGACAGTCTTGCCCATGCAGCTCTGGCTGGCCCCAAACTCACAGAGATTCGCCTGCCTCTACCTCCCAAATGCAAGGATTAAAAGTGTGCAGCACCATGTCCTATGGATTGTGTTTCTTTATCCAAACGACTGATTAGAGAAGAGGCATGGAGGCACACACGTGTGATCCCAGCACCCGGGAGGCTGAGGCAGAAGGAATGTGAGTTGGGGTAGACTGAGCTACAAAACGAATTCTAAGCCAGCAACTTAGCAAGATCCAACCTAAAAACGTAAAAACAAAAACAAACAAACAAAAAAAAACCCACAAACCAAAACCAAAAAAACAAGAAAAAAGAAAGATGTCAAGAATAGGAACAATGACAGAAAAGTCACAAAACTCAAAGAAAAGCAGTCACCAAGAAAGATCAGCGATCAGGGATGTAAAACCAGCAGCAGCTCATAGACAAACTCAACTCAAGCAGCCACAGTCCACCGTGGCTGCTCACCCCTGCTTCCACAACTCCCCCAGGCCACCGGCAGTGGGCTGGTGTCTCTCACAGCTAGGCTCCACACATCCTAATGCAGATCACATTCCCGGGCAGGACACTGGCTGCTTGTATGGTCCCCATGACAAAGAGCCCCACAGACACTTGTTGTCACCCAGTGAGGGGCTGTTCCTAGGCACTGTCGGGAAGGGGAGCCTGAACACCACTCTTCAGGCTCTCTTTGTGGCATCCATCCACCGCTCTGAATCCCAATTCCACTGTACCCAGCAAGATCAGGGGCTGTGAGTCTGTTATTTTTCCTTTTCTTTATGTGTATGTGGGGGAGAGGGTGCTGGCTAGGCAAGCTCTCACCACTGAGCCACATCCCAGCCCATAAGTTAACCCTTCCCAAGCACAAGTTACACAAACTGTGACACACAAGCTGTGTGGCTGCCTCCTGCCCGCTCAGACATTCCCTCCTGGCTCAGGAAGCTAAGGCCACTTAAAAGGCTCTGACACTTACTACTAATTTGACAACATTCTTCTTAAAGCTGTTGCCATAGCAACACAAGTGCTGACTAAGGCCAAAGACAGGGAACACTGGTAGAGCCACCTGTAGACACGGCAGGGAGCTCCAGAGACGTGGCTTTTATGAGCTGTCACCCATGCTGGGGTGGGCTTTGTGGTGATGCAGATGCCTGAGTCCTCCATGATCTACCTGTACATAACTCCAAATACACTCAAAGGGTCATCAGGCTTGACTTTCAAGGAATTCTCTTTGGTATGTTGCCGTGCCACAAAACACCCAACAGGCAAAGCACACTGATCTAGATATCCAATCCTCCAACCAGCCTGTGAGACAATCTCAGGCGGTTGCTCTCCACCAACAGGCCACACACCTCCATGCTCCTACTTCAGTGGTCACCTCATAATCTGGTGTGGAACCCCACCCAGCACGGAATCTATGCATGTCTGCTTCCTTGAGGATGAAAGGTCAACAGGACAGGGGCCAAGGGTCACAGGAAAACACCCAGAAACCCTCTCAACAACAGGCACAAGAGCCTCTGTCCCCTTTCTTTCATTTCCTCCTTGCTGCTGGGTGGAATGAAGACACAAGAGCTGGAGCCTCCACAGCTCTCTCAGACCTCACAACAAAACTTTCCAGAGATAAGAGACAAACTTCTGTCATGTTTGCCACTCATTCATACTCCATTCCTCTGCCTAGAGCCAAACTGATTCCACATGGTGCATCAATTTGCATGTACAAGGAAATATTAGGCAACAGAGGGATAGCCAGAAGGCTTGGATAACTTGAACAGGGGAGAGGCAGGCGGATCTCTGTGAGTTCGAGACCAGCCTGGTCTACAAGAGCTAGTGCCAGGACAGGCTCCAAAGCTGCAGAGAAACCCTGTCTTGAAAACCCAAAACAAAAAAAAAAACATGAACAGGGGAGCCAGGCAGACCATGGAATGGCATGAATCTGGAGGAGAGGTAAAATTCAAACTAAGGGTCAATTGGCTCAGTGGAAGACCCCAGCCTAGAATCCCCCAGTGAGGGGCTGGGGTGTGGCTCAGTGGTAGAGCCCTGCCTAGAATCCCCCAGTGAGAGGCTGGGAATTGTGGCTCAAATCTGTTTGGCATAAGCCCTGCCCTGGCTTCCATCCTCAAAACCTCCTAGGGGACCCCTCCCCCCCCAAAAAAAACACGAACTATGTAGACCATTGAAAGCTACGGTCAAGAGCCTGGCCTTCTCCCAAAGACACTCAGGAGCCAAAGAATTCTGAGCAAGGGAGGAAGAGGGCCAATTTTGTACTTCAGAAAGATCTCTCTAGTCTGTTGGATGGGTTGCAAGGGACAAGACTGAAGACAAGGGGAACAGAAAGGCTAGGCAGCAACACTATAGTTAGTACAATGTCTATAGGAATGGAATCTAAAAGACTGGGCCAGGTAAGCAACTGTCATTTCAAGCTGGGGATCTTCAAAACAAACAAGAGTTAGACAAAGGAAGGTGTCATAAACCAATGCCCATCTTTGGCGGCAGATATGGAAAAGGCCAGGGAAGATATTCAGGAAAGTCTCTGAGAGGGCAGCAGAGGCCACAAGGGCCTTTTGGGCCAAACCATTGAGTTTGTTGGGGTGTTTTTGTTTCGTTTTCCAGGGGTAAAGTCTTATGTCTGGAGCTACAGGGTCCTCCAACTTCAATGCCAGTTTTACACAGGGCTGCACCAGATACAAGAAGCTGACAAAAACCCCAACGCCTTGGCTGAAGAAATGACTGTCTGGTGAGTGTGGCCACACACCTGTAAACCAGGATAAACAGGGCAGGAAGACTGAGCCAGAGAATTACAGAACACGTGTCTCAAGAAGAGACGGGATACAGGGTAGCTAGGAGTAGAAGGCTTGTCTAGAGTGGGCAAAGCCCATAGCTCCTCCTCCAGCGCCCCAGGAAGCAGTCACAATGGAAAGAACGAGAAGGATGCTGTGGAAACAGGGCTCTCGCCTTGACAGGACCCTTCCCTCTGGGTCCTCCCACCCATGCTGGAATATAGTCACTTACAATCTTCTCATAGTACTCCCGGCGCCGCTCCGCCCTCTTCTTGTAATCCACCATCATGCCTCGGAGTTTCCGCTCATGCTTCCGAGCCTCGTGCCACATCGTGGTGAGGCGTCTCTCTACCTGAGGGACGAGGGCACCAGACACGTCAGACAGACTGGAAAAACCACAGGGCAGAGCCACACTCCTCTGACAAGTTGGTGTGGACCCTGATGGCTTCCTGGGAGAGGCTATGCAGAAGACCTGGAGGTGAGTGTAGAGAAGGATGTGTACACAGTCCTGCTGCGGTAGCTCGGGCACTACTAGAAAGCCCCTCTCCTGGGAAAGGGATTGTCCTAGATAATGTGCTAAAGTCCAGATGAAAGATTATGGAATAGGCAGCCCTTGGATGGTTGATGCAGAATTGCCTTGAGTTTAGGGCCAGGGTTATATGTACCAGTCCAGTGTAACCTACATGGGGAGAGCCTGCTTTAATTTAAAAAAAAGAAAAAAAGGAAAGAAAAAAACTGGCCAGTGTTAGTGGTGCACACTTTTAATCTCAGCACTGGGAAGGCAGAGGCAGACAGATGTCTGAGTCCGGAGCAGCCTGGTCTAGGTAGTGAGTTCCAGACTGGCCAAGGCTATATAGTGAGGCCCGTCTGGAAAAAAGAAATTGGAAATTTTGGAATGAAAGAAGTGTCTGATCCTGAGCTACCAGGGCTGGGCTCACAGAAGACCCCGAGAGACGCTCTGCAGGAGCCACGCATGAGGGGGAAGGGCTACAGCAGAGTAGGAAGATGAAGGCTGGTGGAGGGAAGGCAAGCTTCTCCGAAGCACAGCAGAGATGTGCTGCTGGAGGGTGAGGCCAGGTGAAGGGCGTGGACAGACGAATGGGGTGGCCAAGCGGCTGAGGTCGAACGAGGGGACGTGAAGCGGGTCAAGCATGCAGGCGAAACTGAGAAGAGCGCCGGCCCGGCTGGGCGCGGTGGGCGTGAGGCAGGGGCGGAGCTCCGTTTGGGAGTCAGGGTCCCGGCCGAGCCCTGTGGCGCGGACTCGGGCCCGCGGTGGGGCGAGGGGCGCAGCCTGAGGCCTGTGAGGACGGAAGCAGGTGGGGCGGCCCTCAGGGCCCGGTGGTCACCCACGGCAATCCCAGGAACGCCCCGGGCAAGGATGAGGCCTGACTGCCAGCGCTCGGCAGCCGGGAGGTCGGGGTCGGACGCCTGCACTCACCGGCTGGTCGCCGCCTCCCACTGCTGCGCTCGCGCGCGCTCACGGCTCACACCGGAAACGGAAGTCAGAGGTTGAGCGAAGGAGAGAGGCGGTGCGGCACAGAAGGCATTTCCGCAGTCGCGAGGGAGGGATCAGGGGGAACTGGGTGTGGTCTAGTGGATTGGTTCGACTTGTGGGCGGGACCTGTATGGTGGCACGATCTGGGGCGGGTCTTAGCGACTCTGGAAGCGTAAGCCGAGAAACACAACATTGCAGACACATTTTTGTTGTCGTTGTTTTTAAAGATTTATTTTATCTTAGGGGTTGAAGAGGTTGCTAAGCGGTTAAAACAGTGGCTGCTCTTCCAGAAGTCCTGAGTTTACTTTTCAGCACCCAAATGGCTCACAACAGGAGTCTATAACTCTGGTTGGTCCCATGGGATCCAGAGCCCTCTTCTGGTGTTCATACATGCAAAGAAAACACCCATACGCATAAAACACATAAATAAAAGCCTTTAAAAAACGATTTATTAGCCGGGCGCACATCTTTAATCCCTGTGCTCTGGAGGCAGAGGCAGGTAGATCTCTGAGTTCGAGGCCAGCCTTGTCTACAAAGCGAGTTCCAGGACAGCTAGGGTAGCTACACAGAAACCCTGTCTCGAAAAATAAAAACAAACAAAAAAGATGTTATGTGCATGCCTGTATATGTAGATGCCCCTGGAAGCCAGAAGAGGGTGTCAAATGTGTTGTGTATTAGTCAGGGTTCTCTAGAACAACAGAATTTATAGAATGAATCTCTCTACATACATAGAAAGAGGCTTTATTAGAATGACTTACAGGCTGTGGTCCAGCTAATTCAACAATGACTAGCTATGAGCAGAAAGTCTGAGCATCCAGTAGTTGTTCAGTCCACAAGGCTGAATGTCTCAGCTGGACTTCGGTGGACACAGGAATTCCACCGCCAGTAAAAAATGGACTTATTAGCAAGGAGAGGGCAAGAAGGCAAAGAACAAAAGCTTCCTTTGTCCATGTCCTTATGTAGGCTTCCAGCAGAAAGTGTGGCCCAGATTAGATCCCGATTACTTACTTCAAATTAAAAATTCCCTCAGATGTGTGCCCTCCATTTTGGGGTTTTAGTTACAGATGTAAGTCAAGCTGATAACCAAGAATAACCAACACACATTCGGAGCTGCCATCTAGGTGCAGAGATTGATCCTGGGGCCTCTGCAAGAGCAGCGATAGCTCTTAACCGCGGAACCAACTCATCAGCCCCTCAGCCACAACTGTTTAATTCCAAACTAACCTAGTGTTTCTCGGGCAAAGAAGAGAAGACCCCCAAGCCTCAAAAAAACTAATTTTTATTGGGAAAACTGCACAAACAACCTACCCCCACCTTCAGGATCAGGGAAGAGGGCCAGGGATCTGCTCCCTCCTCCCCTATGTACAATCTCTCAGAATCTGTCCTGAGAAGGGGCCTTCCTGCCGGAGCCCCTTTTCCTCTTCGGACTTGGAGCTCTCATCTGTAAAATAGGCTCAAGGAGAACCGGAGCTCTCCCTAGCTTCCTGCCAGCACTGTAGATGTCCGATTCAGGATGAGGAAGCTGGAAGACTGGTCAAGGTTGGCCTCAGGGAATGGGGTGTGCTCTAGCACACTCCTCACCCAGTACCTCCTCTGGCACCTCAAAGGCTACGTGGCTTCAGGCCCTGGGGACAGTAGACCACCCCCGAAAGCTGCCTCTCGGTACTGGTTGGGAAACATGTTGCTGCCCACAAGACTGGCGGTGCCAATATCTCCAGGACCTGGGGCTGCATATGAGTCCAGCGTCAGGGGCTCCGAGCCAGGAGACTCCACAACCGTGGTCCCTGCACCCCCACCACCCACCACAGCACTGGCAAGTGGTGGTGCTGGGGGAAGCAGGTCCAACATGGTGAAAAGCGCAGGGGCAGAAGGGTCATAGGCAAAGCCATCGTCCAGGAGGTCGGGGCCGCCAGGAGGCTCCAAGCCAGGAAGAGATATGGCACTAGGGAAGAAGTCAGTGTCTGGCGGCTGCAGAGCTGATGGTGGGAGGAACAGGCCTGGCGAAGAGAGAAGGATGGCTGGATTAGAACCCACCTCGAGCCAGGCAGTAAGAAACCTGGACCCCATGGTACTGAATGTATTTTTGTTTTGTCTTGTTTTTGGAGACAGGGTTTCTCTGTGTAGCCTTGGCTGTCCTGGAACTCTCATTGTAGACCAGGCTGGCCTCAAACTCATAGAGATCTATCAGCCTCTTCTCACAAGTGCTGGGATTAAGGGTGTGTGCCACCACTTCCTGGCAAATGTATTCTATCTTAGGCCTTTAACCCTAACCTGAGTAGGAAGGAAGTGCCACCACTCCATGTTATTTTGTGTGGATGGGTGTGTACGCATGATGTGTGTGAGTGGGCGAACCTGCTGCCATTGTGAATGGGAGTTCAGAGTTCACCTCTGTGGAGTCACTTCATTCCTGCTACCTTTATATGGAGACAGAACTCAGGTCCAAGTTCATATGGCAATTGCCTTTATCCACTGAGTCATCACACTAGACCATATTTTTTTAATGCTATGAGTGTTTGCCTTTGTAGATAATATGTGTGTGTATGTGTGTGTGTGTGTGTGTGTGTGTGTGTAACACACGAGTTCCACAAGACCCTGTCTTTAAGGAGGCAGTGGTGGAAGGATGGCTCAGTGGTTAAGAACCTGCTGCTCTTGTAAAGGAACAGGGTTGGGTTCCTAATCCCCACTTCCAGTGGCTCAAAATCCACCTGTAACTCCAGCTCCTGGGGATCTGACGCCCTCTCTTGGCCTCCATGGGTTGCATGCCTGTGCCATACAGTCACCCTGACCTGCATACAAGTAAATAAGCAAAACTAAAGGCAGGGTCTTGGGCCATCCAGACCCCTCACTGGTAAAAGGTGCGTCCTGCCAGCCCTGATGACTGGTGCAAGTGGAGTCCTAGAACCCACGCATCGACTCCTATAAGATGTTCTCTGGTCTCCACATGCAACCTGAGTGGAGCATGTGTGCTCCCACATACATGCAAAATAAATAAACACGTTTAAAAAGTCCTTAAAAATAAGACATGGTCTCCTGTAGCCGAGCTAACCTTAAATGTGCTAAATAGCCAAGGATATCTCTGAACTCTGGATTCTCTTGCCTCTACCTCCCAAATGCTACCACATCTGAGTTTTTACATGGTACTGGGGATTGAACCCAAGGCTTTGCACGCTAAGTTGCCTCTCACAATGGAACTATATCATCTTCTTTCTTCTTTAATAATAAAATTATTATTTTTAAAATTATTATATATACAGTGTTCTGCCCTGCATGTATGTATGCTTGCACACCAATAGATGATTGTGAGCTACCATATGGTTGCTGGGAATTGAACTCAGGTCCTCTGGAAGAGCAGCCAGTGCTCTTAAAACCTCTGAGCCATCTCTCCAGCCCCCAATAAGCAAATTATTAAAGGCGATGAGTGAAATAACAGCTAGTCACAGCCTGTCTACTCACAGATCCAGAGCAGGATCCAGGTTCTCAAAAGGAGCAGGGCTAAGGGTATAGCTATGGTGGAGTGGGTATGGAGGGAGGAAGGGAGGGAGACAGACAGAGACAGAGACGCCCTGGCAGCCACTGTAGAACTCAGCACACTCACCACAGTCCTAGCTCAGTCTCCCATGTGCTGTGTTTACAGAGGTGAGCTACCATGCCTGCCCTCTTTTGGTGTTCAATGCTGTCATATGTGGCAGTCAGCTTTAACTGTCTACTTGACACAGCCCAGAGTCTCCTGAGAAGGGAATTCTAAAGGAAGGTTTGCTCAGATTGGATTGGCCTAGGGGCATAACTGTATGGAATTGTCTTTATTGTTAATTGACATAGGACACCCAGCCTACATTTCCTGGGCAGGTGGTCTTGGGCTAAATAAAAGTGCTAGCTAAGTGTGGGTCTACCAGAGAGCAAGCCAGCGATAGGTGCTCCTCCATGCTTTGTGCTTCAATTCCTGCCTCGACTTCCCTCAGTGGTGGACTGGGACCTAAAGCTGAAATAAATGCTTGCCTCCTCCTCCCCTTAGTTGCTGCAATTTGGTCTTCGTGTTTCTCACAGCAGCACAAGGAGAGCAGAGCTCACTAATGTTCTGCTAACTGGAACATGGAGTCGATGGCAAGAGCTGCAGCAGCCACCTTTGGCCAGGAGGTAGAAATTGCATGAAAAGGGGCAAGGCTCTGATGCACATGCAAGCACCAGACCCACTCCTGGGGAGAAACACACTCCAGCCTGTTACTCTCTCTCAAGTTTGGAGTGAATATACCTAAAAATGAAATGCCCTCAGCAAGGCCTGGCCTGGTGGCCATGCTTTAAATCCCAGCAGAAGCAAGTGGAGCTCTGTGAGTTTAAGTTCAGCCTGGGCTGCATGAGATTGTCTCAAAGAAACAAAGAGTCCATGTGCCAGAACCCCTCGGCCGTCCTGGAGGTTGTGTCTAAACAGTTTTTGTGCTCTGAATCCCGTTTTTAATCATTAGCAACTTTGCCCCCTTACCCCCAAACCTGGAATGAGGGTGGGGCTGTGAGACTTGGGAACCATGAGAGAAGCTGGGGAGATGGCTAGGATTGGTGGTTACAAGGGGCAGAGTCATTGTGCAACAGATACCAATTACATGAAAACCAGAGACAGTCATGGTACAGCAACTCCAGAATGGGATGGCTCTGGTTCCAGCCCCTGAGTGACTAAGAATTGACTGGGATTTGGGTGCCCTGAAGCAAGCTGAGGTAGTGGGGAGAAATTCCTTTGTTTCATCTTTTTCTTTTTGTTGTTTGTTTTGTTTTCAAGACAAGGTTTCTTTGTGTAGACCAGGCTAGCCTTGAACTCAGCAATCCTCCTACCTCTGCCTCCCAAGTACTGGGATTAAAGGCGTGCACCACCACTGCTCAGCTCTCATTTTTCTTTTTTGTGTGTACGTGTATACACACGAGTGCACATGGATACATATGTGTATAGTCAAAACAGGCCAGCAGGTGGCTATGCTGAGAAAAGGCTCAGAACTAGAGATGAGCTTACTTCCATCCTTGTGCCAGCTGCTGCCAGGCTCACACTCACCACTGCTGCTCCATACAGATGGCCTACATGTCCATCTTCCCCTCCCCAGCAACAGGT